ATTTTACCGCCAGAACAACCCTGGTTCCTGCTCCCGAAAGATTACAGCCCGATCTGTCCAGGAAAATCCCTGTGACTCTCTTCAGGGACCGTTGCCATCAAATTCATGAAAGTTTAAGGGTTTACGAATCAAATGCAGAAACAAGTCTAAAGAAAGCAACAGCTAGATAAGGAAGTGATGCAGACGAAGTGGTAGAAGTAGGAATAAAGTAAGGGAAAGAAAGGAATCTGTGGAACTGGGTTACGCGGTTGCTGAGCCAGTAAAGCCTACCAGCGCAGCAGCATCTTTTATTCTTGTGGCATGTTACACTTTTTCGGCTCAACTGAGATGGAAATAAACATGAAAAATACTTTAAAGGGACTGACCGGGGCAATGGATATTTTTCCTGTGAAACGAAATGAGTGAATATTCTGTCATTTCCCGAGCTGATTATAGCTGTCCCGTCCACGCTCCTGGGAGGCTGTGGGCCCCCTCGCCCTGGTAACGGCGGTCTCGAGTGATACTGTGGCAGCTAAAGATCACCAATTGCTTGCAGCAAGTCCTCCCTGCCTGTCTCACAAAACAGCACCCGAAATAGCCTTGCCGGTTTGAATAGTCAAGAGTTTGGTGGTTAAACGATGCGAGTGCTTCGGTTAAATGAACTGAGTTAGAAAACTACAGTTAGCATTTTAAATCCTATTTGAATAGATTACAGTTAACATTTTAAGTAAATAACGGTTACTCTACTTGGATAAACTGGGTAAGCAAAGCACCTCGGTTAATCTGTGGTTACCTACAGTTAAGTGTGTAAATATACTTGTAGAAATGGTTTTGTCTTCAGTTAACTTTATAAAAAATGTGAATGTTTCTGCCTAAAAATCTCACCTCAAGACCTTCTGAGTAGGTTCATGAGTCTTTTGGACCAGTCTTTCTTGCATGCCTTTACTGTATTGAAGGGTCAAACTTTAGAAGTTGCTGTGTAAGCTGTTTCTTTTTTATTCTTTTTTTTTGGGGGGGTGATAATTTCTATAAGAAAGAAGGGAAATCTGGGAAGCATTAGAACCAAAGGTATTGTGCTGCTTTTATGCCTCGTATAGCACTAATGACTGGAACCAAACTAAAAACAGGAGGGAGCTTCAGAAACAGGGCTTTAGAAAGCCATATTTTATTCCAGGTTTTTTGCTGGTGTAAATCATGAATATTTTAATGATGTAAATGCAGGATAGAGCCGTCACTAGCCAAAAAATCAGGAAAGACTTCTATAAAAAACTGCTAAATAAAAACCTTGAGAGAACAGAGCTTCAGCAGTAAAAGTAAATGAAAATAAAAATTACCTAGCAGCAATCATACAAAAGAATCAGGACTGTGTGGCAAATACTTACTTGTTTTGTGCTGGCCACAGATGCAATTAATGAATTAATGGTTGCAGAGTACTACCATGTGCATGTGGATTTACAGCTGAGTTTAAAGAACTCACAGGGTGGAAGCACATTTTCCTTGATCCCAAGAATATGATTTACAACTCCTTGCACAGTCCAGTTCACGAGCCTACTGCTCAATTCCCGTTGTAGGAACAGCTGTGGGGCTCTTTCTCAGACCGGGAGGATTGATGGGGGCAACAGTGGTGTGGTTTGGAGAACGGGGGATTTCTGAGACCAGGCTCTGAGGGGTCTGGCACTGGCTTCTGTGAGTTGTCCTTTCACAGCAAGTGAGATGGCCTTGGATTAGGTCCCTGGGGATCCGCTTGTTCCTGGAGGAATGACTGTAAGTTTTACAGAGGAGCCCTGTGCCAAGGCGGTTGGGTCTATCTCCCATCTGCCACAGGAGCTGCGCCTGGAAGCGGAGGAAGGGAGAGATCATGGGGGTCATGTAGCTAATTTATCTCCTTTGATCTTTATAGGTCCAGCTATTTTGTGAAGTAGGAAGGAATTAGCAGATACTTCAGGTTAATCGCTTGAGACAGATAACATGCTTCTTCTCACAGTATCTAATTCTGTTTGCTATCCATTATTACTATGTATTTATGTATACATTGCTGTAGCATCTGATGATTTCAGTGGGATGCATGTGAGACTACCCAAACTTGCAATCCTGATCTTAGTTTCTCTAAAGGATTTTCAGACTGTCTCCTTTCTCACCTGCCCTCCATTTCCTCTTCTACTGGACTGTGCTTTTAACAGATGTATTACTCTAATTTATTTCTAGTTAAAAGAAGATTTTAATGTATTGTTATTTCTGCTTTAATATCCATTGTTCTAGCTTCTGCGGGTCTAAGGTTTGTTTTAATGAAATGAATATTTTAGTCACATGCTATAGACTTGATATTTTTAGCAAGCTTAGTATACCATTCCTTATGTATTAAAATGGAAACAGGAAATTTTATAATTTTGCTGAATTTTACGTGAAACCAGACCTGGAGTCTGTCAACATTGAATGCAAAAATCCACTCAAGCCTGCATGGCAGATCAGTAAGTCAGTGAATCAGGGTTATCACTGTAGCAGTGGTACCAGCTGCCAGTGGTACCTTCCCGAGCCGCAGGTGGCTCCGGGGCAGTTGCGGTGCCTATCTCCTGCGGTGGCTGTGCCACGTAACCAGCAGCAGAGCTGCAGACCAGGGCTGCGGAGCAGTCCAAATCCTCACTGCATGAGGGAGCAAGACTTGACAAAAGTAACCAGTAATTCTGCTGAGGCCAGAGTCACTGGGTCATCTTTGGTCCCAGGTACCCAAGTCAACTATGTCCTAAGTCACAATGGTATTCTGGGATCCTGGAGGAATCCATAACCTCGTATTTGTGAATAAATCCAAAGGTTTCACTTTGCTCGGCTAGCCAGCATCAGTGGCGTGTCTCTTGTGGTTCTCATGGATGAATTTAATGAGACTTACAAGGAAAGGAAGGTTAATGTACTCTGTTATGGGGAATTGAACACAAAGCTCTAAAAAAGGTTTATAAGTTTTTTTCTTACAGTCTTATTTCATCTCCGTATGATTTTCATTTTCCTTATTTCAATTGCTTTCCACCTAAGGTGCTTTTTCTTTGTACGTTATTATTCTAGCAGGCCCAGTTTCTTTTCTCTGTCATCCCATTTCTTTCTTCTTCTCTGTCTCCTTTTGTTCCCTTGCAGTGTTCCTCTAGCTTGTGAGGAGTGTCAGTGTTCACGCCCAGTGCACTCTGTTGGCCTGAGTATTTTTCATCATATGGAAAATTTAAAACATGCAATCTGATTCCATTTTTTCAGTTACTGGGGGAATAAAACTTATGCTCGAGTTTCTGTATGCTATATTAAGTGCAGAATGCATTTCATGATCTAAATAACAAGCGTAGGCTTTGCAGGGGATGCAGTAACAATTAAGCATGTATTACCTGACTGCTGACCTCCTCTTTGAATTTTTAGACAGAAATGAAGACGTTTTGGGTAGAATTAATTGTATGTGATTCCACCTTATCAGTGTTTGTTCAAGGTCAAATGCCAAATTATAAATAGCATTTATATGCTTTACATCAAATTAATATTGTCATTGAATTCCAGTTTTTGTTTTGCTGATGGCTTATGTTGGCATTGTTTCACATTTGACTGGGAAAAATAGAAGTATTTTGAACAAAGTAAGTCCAGCCCAAAGACTGGATTAGCAGCAGCGAGGCTTGTGGGAAAGTGTTGCTCTCAGCTTGGCTCTGCACTGGAAGTTGTGGGTTTCTCCTCTGGTTACTTTTCAACTCCTCTGCACTGCTTCAAGTCTAATTAATCAACCATTGTGTGGGTGAAGTTATTCCTACACAGACTGCAGAGATATCCACAAAGGTCTGGTCTTGCCAAGTTGCATGAAGCATTACTCCTGCAGAAGCGGAAGTCTGGCTACCTCCCAAATACCTGGACAAAAAAAGAAATAAGAGTATTTATTATTATTTTAATTGCACAACTGACATACTCAGGCTGGTGAGAGAGGAGACAGAGGCAGCAGTAGGAAGCAGCTTTTTTTTTTTTTTTAACCTAAGCAAGAAAGAGGTGCAGGGAGTTGAACAAAATACTGCTCTGTATCTCCTTAACTTTTGATAAGCAGGATATGGTACAAATGCAGTGTTAAATTTTCCTCTCCATCACTCTTAAAATCATAGAACGGTGTGTGCTGGACAGATATGGACTAATTGGTTCAGCTTGTAAGTTATATGCAAATATGTGTTAGACCTTCTCATGTGTAACATATTGTATATTGCATTGTCCTGCAGTTGATACACAGCGACACAAAAGTAGGCCACAGTTTAGACTGCATGAATGACTGTAGCAACGGTGCAGCTTTCAACCTCAGCACTAAATTCCTTTGTCTGAAAGCCTGATGAATGTCACATCCATGCTGAATCTGCGTTTGGATGTTGCCAAGGAAGGGCAGCACATCCCTTTGGCCAAGGAGCCATTCTTATGCCCGTGATTACCGTTGCATTTTAATCATCGCTAATATCTTTGCTTGAATGGTGGTAGCCATGAATTGGGGCTGCATTGATGAGGTGTGAGAAAAATGAGCTTTATAGTCAGTAGAACTCGACATGGCTTAGAAGGCTCACACATAATGCCAAGGCAGAAAATGCCCACAGAAACCTAACTAAACCCAGGTATCATATCTACAAAATTAATCTTGTGCTGGTTCTTCTCACAGCTATTGTGCTTCCTTCCAGCTCCAGACCAGAAATTCTAAAGCTCACAAATTAGGTCCTGCAAAAGAATGTGCTACTGTTTATATTTTTCGGTTAGAGAAGCGTACAATAGCTCCATTGGTTGCAACTTAAGGCAAAGGTCTCTCCTCCTGAAACCGTTGCAAAAGAGTGCAAAAAATAGCTTGGGATAAGACTGATTGGAAACGTGGGTCATCTTGGTGCTGCTCTGAAGTTCTCATCACTTTGAGTCATCTGAAAAGCTTTCACTACTAGATAAAGCTCATGATCAACTGAACCAGGTGAATCATTGCTCGGAAAAAAAGAAGTTGCACAAGTGGCATATCTGTTTTCACTTCTCCCTGTGCAGTTCCCAGCTTCTTTTTCATAAAATATAACACACTACTGGTAAACTATCCTGTTAGAATACATTTGGAAAAAGCAGTCTATCTCAAATTAACTCCAAATTTACACTAATTTTTAGTTTTTCAGATTCAATTTTATTTCTTACTGACACAGTAACCCACTCATGAGCTATGACATGCTACACGAGTCAGAATTTGGATACCCCCTTAGTTTCATCAGTCACTGGGGAATGGACTCATTAGCACGTGCTGTATCTGGTCAGCTGTTTGCTCCTATTGCATTTCAAGTTTGGAATAAAATCAGAACATGACCTAACCTATCTCCATAATCATTTTCTTTTATGAACCCTAATTCCTCTTTTTCAGTATTAAACCTGTCAAGGCAAGTGTGCGTGACATAGATCATCCATCTATGAATGGCACGCTAAATATCCTATGACAAATACTGCAAGATGTATGCTCCTTAGTGTGGATTTCAGAGGCCCTTTATAAGAAATACCTAGAAGTCTGATACCATGAAAAAACTTCTGAATTTACAGATTACCAACAGGCAGTTATTTTAAAGAGCAGGCAAAGGAGATTGTCTATCTGTCTATCCTACTGAGAAGTATGTAGTGGTAAGGAAGCAAACTGCAAATGTAAGATTTATTGTTTACCACCAGTAGCTCTTGGCAAGAGGAAAAAAATCTATTTACAATAACAAATTAAGGAGCTGTACTGGGACAGGTTCAACTTATATCCAGTTTCCAGCAGCTGTCAGGAGCAGATATCTAAGGAAGAGTGTAAGAGTATGACAAATACAAGAACTTCCCCTGTGTACAGGGAATACAAAAAAAGTATTCTTTTTTTTGTGGTCCTTGATTGCATTTTTTTATTGAACATTTTCTAGTTGCTTTTTAACCCACGTAGACTCTTGATGTCCTGCAACACCCTGACTGAGTGTATTGTGAAGCAGAGAATAAGTGTTCCCTCGTGTCTTCTCCATACACCTAATGATTTTATAGATTGCTGTCTTATGTTCCTTCAGTAATCAGTTCCCTCGGCTGAAGAACCTAGTGTATTTAGTCACTCCTTGCACAAACACTGTCCCTGCTTGAATCATCCTCATTGCCCTTCTCTGTATCTTTTCTATTTCTCATACACCTTTTTAGAAGTGAGAGGACGAGAAACACCCGGATTATTCAAGTTGCGGGTGCCCTTGCACATACACATTGGACAGTGATGGTTTCCGCTTTGTACCTTATTCCTATGATTCCCTCACATCTGTTTACTCTTTACTAATGGAGCATTGAGCTAACACGTTCGGGGCCTACTGTAATTCTTTTCTATTGGTCAACTACAGATTTAATAGCCAGGGTAGCAAATAGGCTAGAAAACAGCCTAAAGCTGGCCATGGCAACCTGCAGAGCCTGTTTCTCCCATATGCCTGCCAAACAACGTCTTCAAAGTTGCCTGTAAACAGACATCTTCCATGTAGCACTGCAGACATATTGCAGAAACTTGCAAAAGGAAAAATACAGTTGTAAGAGAAAACTTCTCTTAGCAAGACATTACAGTGAGGGTGCCAGGAACATGGCAGATGTGAGGGTGCCAGGAACATGGCAGATTGCATCGGTGACAAGTTACTGATTACATTTCAACATATGGCAAAGACATCGAAGAAAAGATTTGGGGTGTTTAAGAACTGCAGATCTGAATTATATCTAAATTATAAATAATCTCACATAAAATCATATTACAGATGCTTCCATGAGTGAAGCATAGCGAACAAATGGTGAACAGGTAAACAAATGTCTTCGAGAAAGTCTCCTTGCAAGGAAAATTCGTTAGTAGGGCCTGGGGCCAGCCGCAGGGCTGAGGTCCTCCGAGGAAATCAAACGAAGAGCTTCCAGACCTCAGTCACACAGATCCCCCGCTGGGAAGGTAAGAGAGAAACACAGTTTACAGTGTTAGTGACAATATAAAGTGAAGCTTTAACTATGCTGCCCTCTTCTGTGTGCTAAGTAATAAAAAAAGTAGAGTGATTTTGTTATATATCTTTTCATACAGCAGAAAGCTTTAGTTTTGTGTCCAAATGTGCGTTTATAATGCTTAGAGTAACTGCACCTTCTATAAGGCTCCTGGTAGGGAGTGATGGTGACCAAAATAAAAACATAATTGCCCTTTTGCTAAAGGCAATTAAGTCTAAAGTCTGATCTTGTTTCCCTTGCAAGGAAAACTCCATTTCCTTTTCGTTTCAAGAAATGAAAGCCTGAAACCAAGAGGAAAGCTCAGAGTCACAGGGGAGACTTAGGAAATTGCACTGGAAAGCCTTTACACTTCTTTCTACCCCAGTTTGGAATTCATGGTTGTCTTTTCCCGTTGTAAGTGAGGTCATGGAACCTTTCATGTAAAACTGTGTAGGCAGATGGCCGTGAGAGATGTTTTCATCTGTTTCAGGAGAAACTCAGAGTTTGTCCGGCTGGAATGTGCTGAGTTTGGCAAATTCCACGTTCGCACAACAGCACTGTAATAGGCATCTCTGTCTTCTTTTAAGTGCCTCATTTCCTGTTTTGCCTCTGTTGTTATAGAAAACATTGTGATGAAGGCCTCCAAAATTCTTACGGTAGAAACATAGTAGAATCATACAGACTTTGTTATTTTCACTTTAACTTGTCTAAGTTCTTTCTGATGTTATTCTTGTGAAAGAGT